CACGAACACACACACGAACACACACACAGGATCTTTAAGGCCTGCAGGGGCTGTTTGCTGGGAAGTCCTGTTAGCAAGAGACAATGAAATGATGCAAATCTTCACATGTTTCCTGGCAACAAGATAAAAGATGTTACTGGACTGAAAACACACAGGTCACTGTTACACCTGTCTGACCAACCAACAACCAGACATTTTCACTTTACATTAATGTACAGCAGTCAGACAGCAGTGTGAGCCAACACACTCTCCTCTCTGCTGTGTTTGTACTGACTCAGCCCTCATACCTGTGAGGACTGGTTTCACAGCTTCAGCTGACACGTCACTCACAACACAGGAATTTATATTGTGTGTGTGAACTATAAGGTCAGGTGTGTTTGCCTTTAGATTGTGACACAAATCAGGTTACTCTGGTGCTACGGTTCAGCTGCCTTCAGGTGTTTGTATCATTGAATAATGTTGAATTAAAGTGTTGAGAGAACGTGAGAGAGAACGTGTTGGTTACAGATCGTACATAACATTTCTAAATGTGTCTCTGTAGCTCTGTAGCTCTCTAGCTCTGCTCTCTAGCTCTGTAGCTCTGTAGCTCTCTAGCTCTGCTCTCTAGCTCTGTAGCTCTGTAGTCCTGTAGCTCTGTAGTCCTGTAGCTCTCTAGCTCTGTAGCTCTCTAGCTCTGTAGCTCTGTAGCTCTGTAGCCCTGTAGCTCTGTAGTCCTGTCCTGTAGCTCTGTAGTCCTGTAGCTCTGAAGTCCTGTAGCTTTGTAGCTCTGTAGTCCTGTAGCTTTGTAGTCCTGTAGCTTTGTGGTCCTGTAGCTCTGTAGCCCTGTAGCTTTGTAGTCCTGTAGCTCTGTAGTCCTGTAGCTCTGAAGTCCTGTAGCTTTGTAGCTCTGTAGTCCTGTAGCTTTGTAGCTCTGTAGTCCTGTAGCTCTGTAGTCCTGTAGCTTTGTGGTCCTGTAGCTCTGTAGCCCTGTAGCTCTGTAGCTCTGTAGCTCTGTAGCTCGTGTCCTCTATTGTTTGACACATACACTGATACCAATCTATGAGGGAACTAAACTGAAATATTCTGACTGATTATGACAATATTGTCAATACTGGTCAATATTTGAATTGAAGGAGGCGGTGCTTCTTTTTAAAAACTGAGACTTTGAATGAGTCAGGATGCATACAGGTGTGATGAACCACAGTCCTGGTCACAGTCCTGTGTCTCTGTTTAATCAATTAAATCAACTCATTGATTGGATTAAATCGGCTGATTGATTTAAATGAGGAATAAACCAGATGTGGAGACTTGGGAACAGAACATGAACAGATGTTGTTGAGCAGTAAATGGACTGGAGGTTTCCTCCTCAGGTGAAACATGTTTAAGTTGAGTTTCCTCTCAGCTGAAATCATCACTTTATCCTGTGTGAGAGCACTGTCTGTTTTTCCCTCCGTCTGTCTCTGTGCTGGCACCACCTCTTCATCCATGAAGGAGGTGTGTGAGAGAGAGAGAGAGAGAGAGAGAGAGAGAGAGAGAGAGAGAGAGAGAGAGAAGCAGCAGCTGTTTTTTCACCAACCTCGTGACCACTCTCAGCCCCCGTCTTCGGACATCTATTTTCTCCTCGTCTGTTCTATAATAACTCAGTGGCTGAAGCGCCACCACTGTCGTTTTTGGGGTGGAGCTNTTGCTGTGGGGGTGTTGTGTGCTCTCTCTCTTTCTCTCTCTCTCTCTCTCTCTCTCTCTCTCTCTCTCTCTCTCTGTCTCTCTCTCTCTCTCTCTCTCTCACACACACACACACACACACACACACACACACACACACACACACACACACACACACACATACTGAAGCTGCTGGTCAGCTCATCAACAGTTTTCCAGTGTGTCTTGAGTAGATTTTCCAGCTGTGTTGTTGGTGTTGGCAGCAGCCGGGTGGAGCTGTCAGCTGACCTCCACTTTGTTCTATTTTAACTCAGAGAAAAATCTCAACAACCTTCAGTCAATTTGATTCTGGAAGCTCCTGCTTTCCAGAGGATGAACCCTCATACTGATGATGTCATGATCTGTCCCCTAACATCACAAACTTCACATGTTGAGCTCCACATCTGGTTTTAACAACTGTCTAATTATCATGTTGTTGTAACAGTAGTAGAAGTAGTAGTGGTAACAGTAGTAGTAACAGTAGGAGTAGTAGTAGTAGGAGTAGTATTAGTAACACTAGTAAAGCAGGAGAAGTAGTAGGAGTAGTATTAGTAACAGTAGTAGGAGTAGTAGTGGTAACAGTAGGAGGAGTAGAAGGAGTAGTGGTAACAGTAGTAGTAACAGTAGTAGTAGTATTAGTAACAGTAGTAAAGCAGCAGAAGTAATAGGAGTAGTAGTAGTAACTAGTAACCGTAGTAGTGGTAGTAGGTTTCAGGTTGAAAGTCCAGTTTTATTTTGACAGTCTGGCGTAGGGATGGGAATCGAGAACCGGTTCCAGGTGAAAGTCGGTTCCAACTGGTTCGATCCAACCACATTATTTTCCTTTATGCTGAACGATTCCCTTATTGATGCCTTCCACTTAGTTCCACGTGCCGTGCAAAACAGTTACGTCACCCTCTCACAAGTGGCAGTCAACGCGAACGACAGCGAAGGAGTCGAGGAAGTGGGGCTTAATTTCACACAAAATTACACTATCTCTGTGGCACTAAGATTTCAAGTAAGGGTGTGTCTGAGGGATTGATCCACTACAGAGCAGTTAACTATCTTGTTTAGTGTTCAGAGACATAATAAAATTTGCATTGTTGGGACTGAAAACCTGTATAGAACTCCTTTTTTCCACACAGAAAATCCACAGGAATCGATAAGCAGAATCGATAATGGCATCGGTATCAATAAAATCTTATCAATTCCCCTCCCTGGTCTGGCGGCTGTGTGACAGCTTCCTGTCTCAGACTGTAGAGCAGCATCTGACAGAAGATGAGCTCAGACACATAAAGCCTCTTTGAGGACTGAGTGTCAGATAGAGAGACCTCTGTGTTGGAGGAGGACACTGTCAGCTGTCAGCCACACTGACCCACTCATGTCAGTCCCACACACACACACACACACACACACACACACTGACATCAACACTGATCCAATGAAGTAGCAGACCAGAGTCCTGGATCCTGGACTACCATCCATTGATCATTGTCATGATCATGTAAATGAATCTTTCTTTCTTTGTCTCTGTTTCAGGTCAGTGGTTGTGATGTTGCTTCCTCTGCTTCAAGACTACATTTCCCATGGAGCCGTGCGCCGAAACACACACTATTCTACCATGGAGCCACCAGTCAGGTGAGCTAACACACACAGGCAGTGTGTAACTTCTGCAGGATGTTTACTGTGGTCACATGAAAAAAATTACACACACGCACACAGGTTACAAACATTACTTGGGCAGCCGTGATTACTCCTTAAACTTGATTATCCAATCCCTCCTCCTGCTCTTTGAGGAGATTAACCTTTGACCCCTGGGCTGAAAGCACTGCTGTCCAATCAGGAGGCTTCCTGGCTTTTAATTGGGCTCTGATTGGGTCATTTGAGCTGTCAGTTGGTTTGATTAATAACCACAGAGCAGGAAGAGCTGATTAGAGTCTGGATCTGTGGTGTGTGTGTGTGTGTGTGTGTGTGTGTGTGTGTGTGTGTGTGTGTGTGTGTGTGTGTGTGTGGTCTTGTAGGGAAACATGACTTTGTAATTATCAGATTTCTATGTGGTGGAAATAATTTGTTCATTTAAAACTGAAACAAATAGTGGATTAATTGATAAGCTGATTGACAGATTGATCATTGGTTGCTTCAAATATCAGCATTTCAGGTGAAAAGATTTGCCGTAGATTAAATCTTTTGATTCAAATTAGGGGTGGGCATGATTAATCGATGATCAATAATTGATTGTTAAGAGTTTTGTCGATCACGTGGAATCTGATGGATCTAACGTGTATCAATGAGGGTGTGTTGTGTAGTGTGTCTTGAAGCGATGCAGTGAATGTCACTACGTGGCAGCAACCAGCCACGGCACAATTTACATTTTCAACAGAGAGAAATGAATACTCAGCTGGCGGCGTGCGGGCTGCCGTAGACATCGCAGGTAAACATGAAGAGAGCAGGGCGAAGTTTGGTGTGGGAACATTTTGAGCTGAAAAATAACGAAGCTCATTGTAAACATTGCAACGCCGTGTATAAGCGCCGCAGCTTTGGCTCAGAGCCTCGGGCTCCGCCTCCTTTAGGAGCCCTAAATATCTTTTTGTTCTGTTTAATAGTTAAACTATTGTGACAAACTTTTTTCTTCACTGATTGATTAATTGATTAATCACTGAAGTGATCAATAGATTATCCGTAGAGCTGCAGGTCAGCTGTTTCCATGAGATACATGGTAAAGAGAAGGTTTATTAAATCCAGAGTCTGAAGGTGTCTAGTTCTGGTTGTGGTTGTTTGTTGATGAGTTCGGGGTCTCATGGTCCTCACAGACCTGGTCTATCAGCTGATGAAGTCCGGTTCTCCTCAGAGTTCTCATGGAGAACGTGACGTTGTGTTGAAATGAGGCAGGCAGTTGCTTTTGTCTCAGACCTTCAAACAGAGTCGGTCAGTCTGCAGCAAAATCACTCCCATATGTTCCTGCCCCCCCCCCCCCCCCCCCCCCCCCC